CATGATGGTCCCATAGACTATTATGTCTTTTCCCAAACCTATATATTAATGTATATATATATCTCACTCTATGTATTTGGTATTCACTTATTCATATATGCTACAATATTTCTTGATTTAATTTCTCACTAGTCTACCTAATCTCACTAATTCAATCTATAATGAATTTTAGGAATGGGTAAACATCATTTAACTCTCAGTGACTCACAATGAGTTAACTATCTTGTAGAAGCGATGTGCTATTTCATTTCAAAAGACAGAAAAGACACTGTTTCCTGCCAAATGTTCAGTCCAAAAAGTAGAAGACAGACCATGACTGACTTTAGAGTGATTTTTTTTTGTCATTAAACAGTGCAGAAAATGGTCCAACAGTATTATTAAGTCTAAAAGAAAAAGAAAGCAATATGATTGTTGCTGTTTAGTTGCTAAGTTGTGTCTGATTCTTGCAACACCATAGGCCACAGCCCACCAGGCTCCTCTGTCCATGGGATTTCCCAGGCAAGAATACTAGAGTGGGTTGCCATTTCCTTTTCCAGGGGATCTTCCTGACCCAGGGACTGAATCCACATCTCCTGCTTAGCAGATGGATTCTTAACCACTGAGCCACCTGGGAAGCCCAATGACAAGATACTAATGATATAATTTAGAGGTCACGGTGAAAGGCCCAGGTGCAACAGATCCATGAGAGTGCAATTACAGGTTTGCATCTTACAGTTTATACCCCCCTGTGGTTTAAGTAACTTTCATTTACCTTAGATATATTGCTCTGATTTGGAGACCATGGGTCTCTTTCTGTCCACCTTTCTGTCCATGCTTGCTTGTTTCAGTTCCTAATAATATTCCTCTCTGCCATATCAGTAAAGAAAGCAAAGTTATCTTCTCATGCCAACATGATTACAGGGCATACATAAGAATAGATTTTACTAAAATTTCATGTATATAATTTATGTTAAAATATTTAAGTTAAAAAGAATACTTTCTATAAAAATTTTATTCCGATGGAAAAACAGAATTTGAAATCAATAGTGCTTTTAATATATACCTGTATGCATAAACTCACAGAAAGGGTTTCAAAAGTATATCTAGTAGTCTTTCTACATCATACTCCTATTTTCTAAATCTGGAGACTCTATAGTAAATAATAGTATTACAATAAAAAGCAATTTGATTCTACTAAAATTGGATGAGGATGAAAAAGTAGCATGATTCACTATAGATGTTCAATATAGCCCTAAGAATAAGAACACATTAGTCACAGATTTCATATTAATATATTCTTAAAGAATACAAAATTTAAGAATGAAGACATTAAGATATTTTTGCTTTTTGAATTAATTTTAGCTTATATATACCATGTGCTTTTAATCTTAGAGGTGCTAACAGGAACATTGTAATGTAAAAAAATTTTCTCTTCTGCAATATAGCAAGAATACCTGCAAAAACAAAAAACAAAACAACAACAAAAACCTTTTGCTCCCTAGAAATTTATTTGTTCACATTGTTACCTTTTCCTCAGGATATACTCAGCCCAGAAAGATCATTATTATAGTTATCACAGACAATGAGCTCAGAATAAGAACTTAAGGCTTTGGGTATAATCAAAAATGAGATCTAAAATTTAGAGGAGGACAAATCCTGTTTCCACAAAGAAGACAATAAAAGGTTTGGTAAGTTTTAAAAATTGGGATTTTCTTTAGCCAGTAAATATAAGTATACCAATCTACATTAAGCTTCATGGAAAATGAAATGTAACCTGATGAAGTTGTGCAGATGTGCTTTAACTGTTTTTTTTTTAACCATCCAGACCCTTTGCAAAAATAAAAAGGCTTTTGATGGTTACTTGAATCCCAAGAATACTGTTGTCCCTACCCCAAACCCTGCCACATATACTTTCTTTTCCTTAAAATGAGCAATTCAAATTACAGTATCACTCTTAGAAGTTAGCTCTCTATATCCTTGTGGCTAGGAATGTTCACATTAAAATTTCAGTATAAAATCCTACCCTGTAAAATTTTATTGCTTGTATACATGATGGCATTATAGATGCCACTGTCACAAAAGTGGCTGGTGACATTTTTCATTTTTGGGTCCCACTTAAAACCTGAAGATAAGTCTGCACTACATTTCATATTCAATATACCAAATCGTAGACTTTCAATAAAGCAAAACTTATATTTAAAAAACTGGAATGTTTATAATAAATAGTAGTTTTTATCAAAGAAGTAATTTTTGTTAAGTCTGAAGGAAGGGCATGTTAAAAGATGACTTAGAGGAAAATAAAGAATAAGGCCCTTATGGAATGTTGTTTTAATAGTAAAACAATCAATTGCTTTTCTAGGCTCAATTTATTATGACAGCTCAGGTGTTTCAAAAATCAAAGACATTACTCTTATAATCAATTAGGTGCATTTTGAGGTCTTTTGGTTGAGTGTTTCTAAATGGCTAAAAGTATTCCTTTGCCTTTCTCCAAGTAAAAGCATTAGTGAAAACAAAGCTGCTTCATTGCTTCTCTTTGTGCCTGACAAAAGAACATGTGGAATGTGAAGACGGTGACTGGATAAGCAGAAATTCTCTTCTGATACTAACATTTCTATTTTTTTGGAAAAAAAAATTAAAGATAATGTTAAGAATATGATAATAAATATTCCCTTTACATGAGTCTTCTTTCAATACTCTAAATTAAATAACATCTGATATTTACTGAGCCAAAACTTGAATGTGTTCATGTTACTTCCATTCCAGGAGGACTTATTTGTAAGAAAAATGTAATCTTTTTACTCTTCAAAACAGTTTTCAAAAATAATTTGACTTGTAAATCTTCTAACTGGCCCTTACATTTCCATTTTTATATCCGCATTACAAAAGTCACCTTCTCCTGATACTCATTCTACATTTTTACTGCTTCTCTTTTCTTGAGATTAAGAAAATCAAAGCATCACCTACAGCCATATTATAACCTTCTCAATAATCACCCCTAAACACCACATACACAAATACACCCACGCCTAGCAACTAGAAAAGAGAAACAATGTGAAATATTTTAAATTTGTCCTTAATTTAATAGGGCCTAAGAAGCTACCTTTATCTTTTTTGGCTCCAAGTATTTGGCATAATGTTGATGGTAATGGCTGGAATTCCTTTTTCAGAAGAAGGCAATCTAATCATGCCCACTATAATTAGTTTAGCTTCTCCTTAGGGATGTGGGGGAAAAAAAGAGATACTGAAACTTCATGTATTTCTTTAAAAAATAGGGCCTGAACAAAATGTGTGGCAATCTCAAATTCTGAGTGAATCTAATCTACCTTTAAGGTGTAATCCCCAAAGGCTAGTAGGATCATTCTTGTGGATTTCTAGCAGACAGATGAATTTAAAAAATGACAATGTTTGGAACATGATAGTGTAAATGAAAAACAAGAGAGAGTGATCTAAGTTTGAGAAAAGGATTAACTTAAATATCCAACAATGTGAGATTTTAATCACAACTACAATATAATAAAGAATGGCCTTTGTGACAAGGAATCTATTAATATTAAGAGTGTTTATTAAAATTCCCCAGAGGATAAAAGGGGGAAAATGCTTAAAGTTTCATCAATCATACTGTACCCCCCAAAACCTGCCATTAAAATACTATTTTTTCTATATTGTATTTCCCCCCACTGTTCTTCAGTGAGGTGATTTAAAAAGTTAAGCATAAACTGTCTTAATTACCTATCCTTTACCCTTAATCATAGGTTATCACATGTGAATTTTTTTCCATATCTGACAAAGGAATAAGCCCACACAGTTATCTTAAGTGTTAATTATATATAGTCCTCATTTAACCAAAATTAACAGTCTTAAGGGAAAGGAAAACATAACAATAAATGTAGTTGCTGTATGTCCCAGTTCTGTGTAAGGTCAGGAATCTTGAACATGCTGATATCAACTGCCACAACAATTAGAGGACGGTAAAAGGTAAAATAATCTGTATGACTTGATCATCCCAGTGACCAAAATGCACTTTATCTCAGAGTAATCAAGACTGAAGCATTAATTAAACCCTCATCTTATATTTAACTAGGTATTATTAGCACCTTCAAAGAGAGGCACTGTTTTAAATAGGCACAGAACAAAGAAAAATAGTACTTTAAAAATACTGTTGGAACTCACTAATATATCCCATGCCACATAAATTACAGCTTTTTATTATAAAAATACCAATACCCTTAGATGTTAATCAGTTAAATGTAAATCAGCAAAAACATCTCATAAGTTTAGAACACTCCTCAGTTCCAAGATAAAACATGCTGTATATTTAAAAATAAATTAGAGACAAATATGAACCTAACCTGAAAAGTGTAGATACTGTGTATATATATATTTGTATTTAATACTATATGTACATAATTGCTATATACTTAAGATATTTTATTCTTAGAAGTATTTCTACAAACACAAGTATTATCTTGAGTACCAACAATGTGTCTTTTTTCTTTTGCTTTAAAAGAATGTACATTATTTATGCAGCTTGTTTTATAAACTAACTTAAATAAGTTAATACAATAGCCTAAATTGTCCCTGTATTGTTGTTTTTCTTTCTTTCTTTTTTTTTTTTTTACTGTGGATCTATTTTGGCAACATGGAGGTATATCTTTAACTGTTATAAAGCCTACATGTATAAGTGAAGACATTAAAGGATTTCTTAAATGAAAGAGGACTTCTCTAACCTGAAGTGATAGAATTAAATGATACCACTTTTTTCCAAGACAAAAGTACATATGCAAGGAATAGCTCATTAAGAAAATGCTCCACTTTTCACATTATTTCAAACTTTATGGGTAGAATGTGCACATTAATTTCACTAAGAGTACATAAACATAGGAAAACAGTCCCCCAAAAGATGCATTTATGAGCCTGTAAAATTTTTCAACATAAAGTGCTAAGAGATGAATAAGGAGAGCTGAGAATATCGTAAGCTATAAATCTTGAGACACGCCCTACACCGTGGTAGGTCTTGAAACTTAGCATTCTGATTTTCTCTTAGGTTCAAGATGATCGTCCAAAGTGTCTGGATGCTGGCTAGGACCATCTGGCGTCTCACCTGTGACAGCTAAAAGGACGATTTTCAGCCACTTCTGTTTCAGTTCCTCACTGTCGGCAGCAAAGCTGTGCACAGACTTAGACTGGGTCAGTTTGAAGCTGTGTGGCAGGTCTGCACTTCTTGGCATGTCATCCACAATATAGCCCAGGAGTGGAATGGTGGCCTGGGCTCTGACATCCTAAGGAAGAAACATGGTGAGATGTGATCTGGCTCCCACTAACGCTCCTTTCCCACCATCTCTCCACAGACTTGTACTGTGAGCTCTCCATGGAGATGGGACAGATCCATTGCTTAGCACTGTGCCTCTGCATGAGGCCATTGGTAATGTCACCTGAGTGAATTAATGAATAAGCACTAATGCCTAAATCAGCCAGAATTCATTGACCCCACACCTCCTCTTTCCCTGTAAGGGAGCCCATTCAGCTCTTTATTCAGTGTAAAAAAGAAGAAAAGAACAGTAATTTTATTGTACAAAATCAGCAAATGTTAATGATGATTTCATTACCAAACACAGTTCCATTTGGTGTTTAATTAATTCATGCATCAATTTACTTATGGACAGGAAAAACAATGAAATAGAATAAAAAAACAAATAACTCAATAAAAAAATGGGCAGAAGACCTAAACAGACATTTCTTCAAAGACATACAAATGGCCAAAAGGTCCATGAAAAGATGCTCACCATCGCTAATTAGAGAAATGCACATCAAAACTACAATGAGGTATCATCTTACACTGGTCAGAATGACCACCATCAAAAAGTCTATAAATAATAAATGATGGAGAGGATGTAAAGAAAAGGGAGACCTCCTACACTGTTGGTGGGAATGTAAATTGGTTTAGCCACTAAGGAAAACACTGTCGAGGTTCCTTAAAAACTAAAAACAGAGAAAATGATGTGTTGCAGTTCATGCAGGTTGCAAACAGTCAGACATGACTTAGAAACTGAACAAAAACAACAAAAGCAACTCTACGATTCTGCAATCCCACTCCTGAGGATACATCCGGAGAAAACCATAACTCAGTAAGACACATGCACCTCAATGTTCAGTGCAGCACTATTTACAATAGTCAAAACATGGAAACAACCTAAATATCCATCCACAGATGAAAGGATAAACAAGATGTGGTGTATATATATACACATACACAATGGAATATTGCTCAGCCATAAAAAGAATGAAACGATGCCATCTGCAGCAACTTGGATGGACATAGAAATTATTATACTAAGTGAAGTAAACCAGGAAAGGAAAGGCAAATATTATATGATATCACTTATGTGTGGGCTCTAAAAGAAAAAAAGACACAAATGAACTTATTTCCAAAACAGAAAAAGACACTCACAGACACAGAAAAAAAATTGGCTTTTTGGTTACCAAAGGGGAAAAAGGGGTGGAAGGAGGGATAAATTAGGAGGCTAGGATTAACACACACACACACTAATATGTATAAAATTGATAACCAACAAGGACCTATTGATAACACAGGGAACTACACTGAATATTATGTAATAACCTATAAGGGAAAAGAATCTAAAAAATATGTATATGGGCTTTCCTGGTGGCTCAGACAGTAAAGAATCTGTCTGCAATGCAGGAGACCTGGGTTCAATCCCTGGGTTGGGAAGATCCCCTGGAGAAGGGTACAGCTACCCACTCCAGTATTCTTGTCTGGCGAAGTCCAAGGACAGAAGAGCCAGGCAGGCTACATGGGGTTGCAAAGAGTTGGACATGACTGAGGGACTTTCACTTTCACATACACACACACACACACAGAGTGATTTCTGAATAGCTGTGTTATACATCTGAAGTTTATATGATATTGTAAGTCATTTATACTTCAATTAAAAAAAATACATGTACACATCTTGGCATTTTTAGTCTATTTTGAAAATAAAGTTTCACTAGCCCTTAAAATAGATATAGGGTAAAATACAATAGGTACATTAAAATTTTCATGTTTCTAGGTGAGTGCAAAATTGATTTATGTGTTGTTGGTTTTTAAGCACAATACAATCCATTAATGCCAGGTGTATGTCTGTTGTTTCCAAATACTTATTTCAGATACATTCACACAAGGTTCCCCAAAATTATTACTGGATAATGGTAATCCAAGGTTGATTTAAAGTCACCTTCTTCTCACATTGCTTTCTTTTTCAGGTATCCATCCTTTCAGGGGTTGACAAAAAGGCTTATTGATATTTCCTATCATTAAAAAGTCTCCTTGCCTTTCCCTCTGATTCAGCCTCTTCTTCCCATGCTCTTTACTAATTCAACCCATATTTTCTCAAGCCCACTGAACAGGATGGACAGAGGAGGGCAAGTGATCCACAGGGAGAAGACGCTTTTGCCTACAGAAGGAATCGGGCTTCCCTGGTGGCTTAGACAGTGAAGAATCTGCCTGCAATGCAGGAGACCTGGGTTTGATCCCTGGCTCTGGAAGATCCCCTCTCCCTTGGAGAAGCAAATGGCTACCCATTCCAATATTTTTTGCTTGGAGAATCCCATGAACAGAGGAGCCTGGTGGGCTACAGTCCATGGGGTTGCAAAGAGTTGGCTACGCCTGAGCGACTAAGCACACATAGAAGGAATCAGTCTAAACGAATCTGAGTTACAGTTACTTATATTTTTCAACTATAATGAAAAATAGCGAAACTGTATGAATTCTTTTGTTCTATAGAGAAGTAATGGAAAAATTTTAAGTTCAGGGTCCACTGGCCTCCCTCTGTCCCTTCAGAAAGATATAGTTTAGATACCTGGGGAGCACCGTACATGTACAGCACGAGAGGGTCTTGTTTGGGGATCACACACCAAGCTTTCTGCCAAGGTTTTGACTTTTCCATATACTGCAGAAAGCTGCACACCACACTGTTTCCAGATACTTCCGCTGATTCAATCTAGAAAATATAATGCAAAGAGACAGTGAGACAAAGAAATGAACACAAAATAAACCCAGATAGCGAAGTGATTTGACTGAAGGGAATATTCATAAATTATATTTACATAAAATGCCTCCTGGGATTGTCCAAAAAAAAAGGTTCATCTGCAACAGTTAATTAAATATGCATCTAGATCTATGATGAATTAGTCAATTTTAATTGTATTAGCAGACCTTGAATTTACACAAAATTAAACATTTATTGACTACTTACTATGAAGGCACTTTTCTTAGCTTACTACTTGTATCAATTCATGTGACAGTCACACCAACACCGAAAAGTTATTACTTTCATTATCATGAGGTTTAGAGATGAAATATCTTTCCTAAGATTTAGGAAATGGTGTCCTAGGATTTCAGTCTGGATCCAGAACTTGAACTCTTAGCCACAAAGCTATATCAGCGTCACTATTTAAGAATACAATAGCAAAAAGGCAAATGATTACCAGCAATCTCTGCCCTTTACCTGAGATAATTTCAAAGTTTTTAAAATTACAAAAAAAAAAATAAATAAAATTACATTAACTCTTGGTAGAGCACTGTGCAGTTTTCTGCTTTGGCTCCTAATACATAAATAATTGGTTAAAAAGGGAACAAAATCCTTTGACCAATGATGGTTTTTATTACATATATTATGGAAAACAACTGGTTTGCATCTATTTTCTGTTTTTTCTTTTCTATTTTTTGGCCACGCTAAAAAATGATCAATGGTTTGCATCTATTTTCTGCCTTTTTCTTTTCTTTCTATTTGAGGCATGCAGCACCTTAGTTCCCTGACCAGGTATTGAAACTGTGTTCCCTGCAGTGGAAATGCAGTATCTTAACCACTGGACTGCCAGGGAAATCCCTGCATCTATTTTGTATCTCTCAAATCCAGTGTCATCCACTGAGCAGTGCTGGTGTGCAAACTGTTTTGCTACTAGTTAGAGATAAGCACAAAAAGCAAGAATAAGCATTTAGAAACTTTTACAGCAATCTGACTTGTGATGATACCTGGGTACATAATTGCGTATTTTATAAAAATATAGCTAAGCAGAGATCTTATAGATGAACATTTAAAATCAATCTGAAGACAAGGAACACCAACTCTGGACTCAAATGAAATATTACCTATCTTCCCTGACTCCAAGGCATTTAATACTTTTTATTATCATATTGCAAAAATTTTATACTAAACTATGACTTTTGTTTCTAGGAGCTACTGAAGCATGTCTTTGCACCATCCCCTGCCAGAGAAAGTCCACTCTGGTTTGCCATACAAGCAACACCCATCCTAGAAGAATACAGTTATAGCTTGTGGGACCGTATTTTAACCTCAACTGGACTTTAAAGTTTATGATCCTTCTTCAGTTAACAGAAATGATTTTTGTATGTTTATACAGCATAGATATTTAATAAATACTAAGTGATTCTTAGAATCAATGAATTGCAGAAATTCTAGATAAACCAAGTATTTCTATAACTTTAGATACATAAGAATTTTGATCACAGATTTCCAGGCTATCTTGAACTTTTTCTCACCAAGAGCCTTATTATATAATTTATTACTTATGTTGTTAATATATTTGGGTATAAAACTCATTTTAGATATTAGCTGCATTATAGTTCCTAGGTTTGGGAGGTCTGAATTTATGTAAAACATTAAATCAAACTCAGTTGTAAGACATTTCATATTTCAGTGTAGTTCTCAGATTACTGTCACTGTCCATTAAACAATGCTTTTAATGCAATAAGCTGAAAGAGTTTTTCAGGTAATAAGACTTTAATCTAAATTTTTATATCATACAATAGTTTTCAAAGCCAATATGATGAAATTGAGAGAAACACTTTCCTCTTAAAAATAAATAGATATACTGTAATAAGTTGAGCATTAAAAGAGATACAATTAATACTCTAATATTTGACTACACCTTCACAAAGTCAATACACAGTCAGCCCTCTATAACTGTGGATACAGACCCTAAGGATATGAAGGGCTGGCTGTACTACACTACTGAATGGATATAAGAGGTTTGAGCATCCATGGATTTTGGTATCTGTGGAGCAGCCTGGAATCAATCCCCCAGATACCAAGGAAGGACTAGATTTAGTCTCAAATGCATTCTGGTTAATCGAGCACTGCCCCTCTTCTTTCTATACAACTGAGCATGATCCCAAGAGTCAGCAATAGAACAAAAGTATAAATCTTGCTTGTCATGGCCCAAATTGTTATACTAAGAGAAATAAAAAAATATATTACTTGTATTTTTCAGAGTTAAAAGGAAATTCTATTTCTAGTATAAAAAATAAAAGAAAAAAAAAGAAAAAGTCTGAAAGATATCCAATATTTAATATTTCATACCTCTAAAATTCCTTTCCTTTTCTTTTCTTCACTGTCTGTGAATCCACTTATTATTTGATAACAGTCTTTACAGACTTTGCTCAATTTACCACCATCATACTCAAGTTGAGCTTTATAATCAGAACACTTCCAACAAACCACCTTAAATTAAGAAAAAATACGAGTGAATAACCATATTTATAAAATAAGATTTAAGCAGTAATCAGTTATGGGTAATAATAAATGAGAAAAAGCTAAATGCAAATTTTTACTAGACTAATAATATTCCCATGAACATTTGGAATATTTGTCATCTTATTATAATGTTATTTGTGATGGGCTCTGCTTGCTCATCCTTCTCTTTCTGGCCCCTAAAGGTAGGAGATCTTCAAAGGCTTGGTACAGATTTTCATACTTCATGTGCATGCATGTATATTCAGTCATGTCTGACTCTTTGTGCCCTATGGACTACAGCCCACCAGGCTCCTCTGGCCATGGGATTTTCCAGGCAAGAATACCAGAGTGGGTTGCCATTTCCTTCTCCAGAGGATCTTCCTGGGAAGCATACTTCTGGATATTTAATCAATATGCTCCCCAAAGGAATTAGTCTTCCTTGCCCTCAGCTTTCTCCCTATTACACTTAGCCCCCACTGCCCCCCGCCAACCTGTTCCCCTCTTACAGTACTCTCTATTGCTCTAAATAACAGTCTTCTAACCAGACATGGCAAGTCAGAAACCTAGGAGTCATCCTGACCCCTCTCTTCACCTCACCCCATAGATTCACCTTATTATAAAGCCCTGCTGATTTTACCTCCTAGACACTTTTTCAGTCTGTCATATCTTCCTTGCAATCACCTGAGTCCAAGCTATCAGTGTCTTGGTTTGGACCATTACAGCCTCATGACTGGTCTTTGTAGCATATTTACTGGAGTGCAGGTGCTGCTCTAAGAGCCCCTTCAAGCTATTTTCCAAATGGAATGAGATACTTCCTTTAAAATGCTAATCTGGGGGGGGGGAGGAGCCAAGATGGCAGAGGAATAGGACGGGGAGACCACTTTCTCCCCTACAAACTCATCGGAAGAACATTTGAACGCTGAGCAAATTTCACAAAACAACTTCTGATCGCTAGCAGAGGACATCAGGCGCCCAGAAAAGCAGCCCATTGTCTTCGAAGGGAGGTAGGACAAAATATAAAAGATAAAAAGGGAGTCAAAAGAGCTATGGACGGAGACCCGTCCGGGGAAGGGAGTCTTAATAGAGGAAGTTTCCAATCACCAGGAAACCCTCGCACTGGCGGGACTGGGGGAAGTTTTCGGCAATCTAACTGGGAGGAAAAATTAAACAAGGCCCACAGATTACGTGCCTAAAAGCAACTCCCAGCAGAAAAGTACCCCAGACGCCCGTACCCACCAGCAACAAGCGGGGGCGGAACGGAGAGGACCGGGCGGCATTGCTTAGGGTAAGGATCGGCCGGAAGACCCTGAGAGCAATCGGAGGGAGCTTTTTTAAACTGTGGGATAGCAAGGGACAAAATTAACTGGCCCGAACACACTACACTGCTGGCGGTTCGCAAAACAAAGGGACTGAGAAACTCCAGAGAAGAGCCGGCCCATCCCCGCTGGAGGGAGGAGGCAGGGGGGAGGGGAAAAGGGCAAACTCAGCCCCAGAGAAGCCACCCCCTCCCACACTGCAAACAGGCCCCCGGTTCCTATCTAAAGACTTCCTGAGACCCGACTGGCGGTGCGCGCTGGGGCCGCGGAGGGAAAAAGCACGCCTTACCCGGGGAGATTGCGCCCAAGCCCCTCCTGGCTGCCTGAACCGCTCAGGCTGGGGAAAGCACAAAACGCAGGCGCAACCGAATCCGCGCTTTTGTGGAGTACCCGAAAACTGGAACCGCACTCAACGCAGGGCCCGCTCCATATAGAGCAGCCGGGAGACTGAGCAGTGTAGATGGGGAAAGCACTGACACCCGTGAGCGGGGCAAACCCAGTGTGGCCGGAACACGGTGAGTGCTATCCACACAGAGCGGTATCTGTCTGCAGCGCCACGCCCTCCCCGTAGCAGGACTGAACTGAACTAGCTAACCTAAATAAGAGATCACCTCCGCCCGCCTGTGTCAGGGCGGAAATTACACGGAAAAAAAAAAAAAAAAAGAGACGGCAAACAGAAGCCAAATAAACAAAGGGAACCGCTTCAGAAAGGACCGGTGAAAAGAATTCATTTGAATCAGTTCTAATGAGATGGATGAAACTGGAGCCCATTATACAGAGCGAACTAAGACAGAAAGATAAAGACCATTACAGTATACTAACACATATATATGGAATTTAGAAAGATGGTAACGATAACCCTATGTGCAAAACAGAAAAAGAGACTCCTATGTATAGAACAGACTTGTGGACTCTGGGAGAAGGCGAGGGTGGGATGTTTCAAGAGAACAGCATTGAAACACGTATATTATCTAGGATGAAACAGTTCACCAGCCCAGGTTGGGTGCATGAGACAAGTGCTCAGGCCTGGTGCACTGGGAAGACCCAGAGGGATTGGGTGGAGAGGGAGGTGGGAGGGGGGACCGGGATGGGGAATACATGTAAAAAAAAAAGATACACTATGGTTGTGATTAAAAAATAAATAAATTTAAAAAAAAATTTATCTAAAAAAAAAAAAAAAAAGAAAGAAAGGACCGGTGCAACAGATTAAAATCCCTGAAGTTAACACCGACTACACCGGAAGGGGCCTATAGATATCGAGAAGTGTAAGCTGGAAAGAGGAGCTATCTGAAATTGAACTGAACCTACACTGACTGCAACAACTCCAGAAATTCCTAGATATACATGTATATATATTTTTTAATTAAAAAAAATTTTTTTTTCTTTCCTTTTTTTAATTTTTTCTCTTTTATTTTCTTTTAAAATTCCCTATTACTCCCCCATTACTCCTCAACTTTCATTTTCATATATTCTTACGATTTTTTTAATTAGGGAAACAAAATTTTTTTTTCTTTTTTTTTCTTTTTCTTGTTTTTCTCTCCTATTTCCTTTTAAAGTCCTCTAATACTCCTCTATTATTCCTTAATTTTCATTTCACTATAACCTTGCCAAAAAAAAAAAGAGAGAGAGAGAAACCCTATTTTTAAACCGAACTTCATATTCATTTCTAAATTTCTTTTGTGTTTTTGTTTTTGTTTTTAAATATTGTATTTCAAAGAGTCTAACCTCTACACTAGATTTTTAATCTTTGTTTTTCAGTATGTGATATAACTTTTGGACATTTAAGAATCCAATATTCAGTTCCCATTTCTATTCAGGAGTGTGGTGATTACTCTCCCACTTTTGACTGTTTTCTACCTCAGAACACCTCTATTTCCTGCTTTCCCCTTCTCTTCCCAATCCAATTCTGTGAATCTTTGTGGGTGTCTGGGCTACGGAGAACACTTTGGGAACAGATAACTGCGTAGATCTCTCTGTCTCCTCTTGAGACCCCTTTTTCTCCTCCTGCTCACCTCTATCTCCTTCCTCCCTCTCCTATTCTTCATGTAGCTCTGTGAACCTCTCTGGTTGTCTCTCACGGTGGAGAATCTTTCCACCATTAACCTAGAAGTTTTATTATATGCTGTATAGTTGGAGAAGTCTTAAGACTATTGGAAGAATAAAACTGAAATCCAGAGGCAGGAGACTTAAGCCCAAAACCTGAGAAAACCAGACAACTCCTGACTACATGGAACATTAAAGAATAAGAGACCATTCAAAAGCCTCCATACCTACACCAAAACCAACCACCACCCAAGAGCCAATAAGCTCCAGTACAAGACATACCACGCAAATTCTTTAGCAACGCAGGAACATAGACCTGAGTGTCAACATACAGGCTGTCCAAAGTCACATCTAACACATAGACCCATCGCAAAACTCATTACTGGACACTCCATTGCACTCCAGAGAGAAATCCAATTCCACGCACCAGAACGCTGACACAAGCTTCCCTAACCAGGAAACCTTGACAAACCAATCGTCCAACCCCACCCACTGGGTGAAACCTCCACAATAAAAAGGAACCTCAGACCACAAGAATACAGAAAGCCCACTCCAGACACAGCAATCTAAACAAGATGAAAAGGCAGAGAAATACCCAACAGGTAAAGGAACATGAAAAAAGCCCACCAAGTCAAACAAAAGAGGAGGAAATAGGGAATCTACCTGAAAAAGAATTTAGAATAATGATAATAAAAAGGATCCAAAATCTTGAAAACAAAATGGAGTTACAAATAAATAGCCTGGAGACAAAGATTGAGAAAATGCAGGAAATGTTTAACAAGGACCTAGAAGAAATAAAAAAGTCAATTAAAAATTAATAATGAAATAAATGAGATCAAAAACACTCTGGAGGGAACCATGAGTAGAATAACAGAGAAGAAGATAGGATAAGTGAGTTAGAAGATAAAATGGTGGAAATAAATGAAGCAGAGAGGAAAAAAGAAAAAAGAATCAAAAGAAATGAGGACAACCTCAGGGACCTCTGGGACAATGTGAAACGCCCCAACATTCGAATCATAGGAGTCCCAGAAGAAGAAGACAAAAAGAAAGGCCATGAGAAAATACTCGAGAAGATAATAGCTGAAAACTTCCCTAAAATGGGGAAGGAAATAGTCACCCAAGTCCAAGAAACCCAGAGAGTCCCAAACAGGATAAACCCAAGGCGAAACACCCCAAGACACATAGTAATCAAATTAACAAAGATCAAACACAAAGAACAAATATTAAAAGCAGCAAGGGAGAAACAACAAATAACACACAAAGGGATTCCCATAAGGATAACAGCTGATCTATCAATAGAAACCCTCCAGGCCAGAAGGGAATGGCAGGACATACTTAAAGTAATGAAAGAGAATAACCCAGATTACTGTACCCAGCAAGGATCTCATTCAGATATAAAGGAGAACTCAAAAGCTTTATAGACAAGCAAAAGCAGAGAGAATTCAGCACCACCAAACCAGCTCTTCAACAAATACTAAAGGATCTTCTCTAGACAGGAAACACAGAAAGGTGGTATAAACGTGAACCCCAAACAACAAAATAAATGGCAACGGGACCATACCTATCAATAATTACCTTAAATGTAAATGGGTTGAATGCCCCAACCAAAAGACAAAGGCTGGCTGAATG